AGATTTCAAATAGGGCGGAGAAGAGCGGTTAAAAACAAACTGCTCCGAATTGCTCACTTCACTGGCAGTTGCCATCTTCAAAGTCAGTAGGTGTACAAAAGGCCCTGTCTATGACATCACTTCCTCTTTCTTTTCTGCTCCAGCCTGGTACAGGCTGGAGCAGCATCTTCAAACAGTTGCCATCTTCACAAGGTCATATTTTAAAAACTATAAATCCTACAGTGAAGAGATTTATATTGTGAGAATCACAAGACCCAGACCTACATTTTACAAATAGTATGTCTTTGAAATATTAAAAATGAAGGCACAGTCACAGTTTAGATATTGCCCTTCAAATTTGAGGTGGCTAGAGTGGAGTTTCAAGAAATGTCAATGGACGGCATGGGTTGCAAACAAATGGTCATATTGTGAAAACTATTAGGACTATGGCTTAGCTGTGGACATGTTTAGTGGCAGCAGGGGTAGCTGAATGTTTTGATATAAGATTTGTGTAGGTGGGCTTGAAAATGAGGGAGTGGTGGCAGTTTAGAAATCATGTCCTGATTTTTCAGCTCCAACACTAGTTTTGAACATTTCGCCATTCATTCCTATTGGACCAATTTTGCCACAAAAACAACGATATTCTGTGAACCTTTTGGCGAAACGTTCCACAAAGTAATAGCACACCAATCGGGAACAATCCGCACGATTTGGTATATTACTGTCTATGTAGTGTAAAAACTGTGGGAGGAGTTAGGGTAGTAAATTTGGCTATAATAATAATAACTAGAAATGCTAAAAATTTCTGGGGAAATTGTGTGAAGTGTACTTGCCTCCACCAGTAGTCTACAACTGGAGTGGGCGGAGTAACTGTTATTATTTATTTATATAGCACATTTAATTGCAACGTTTTTGCCCAAAGTGCTTCACAGTTACATTAAAACATACATTTATAAAAACATTAGCAGGTGTACAAAAGGCCCTGTCTATGACATCACTTGCTGCTCCAGCCTGGCAGAGTATTTTGGCGGTTGCCATCTCCAAACCGTCGTATATTAAAAACTATAAATCCTACAGTGAAGAGCTTTATATTGTGATAATCAGAAGACCCAGACCTACATTTTGATGCATAGTATGTCTCTGAAGTGTTAACAATGAAGGCACAGTCACAGTTTAGAAATTGCACTTCAAGTTTTAGCTGTCTAGAGTGGAGTTTGCACATCTATAGGGCTTCCTGTGCCCGGACTGCCACCACAACAACTTACACATCTGTAGTGCTCCCAGTGCCAGGATTGCCACCACAACCACTTACACATCTATAGGGCTCTCAGTTCCTGGACTACCATCACAATCATTTACACATCCATAGGGCTCATAGAGCCAGGGATTAGCTTATTGGTCAAGATTCCTGTCATCATTTACGTAATTTTCCCTCCCTCTCTCTTGTTTTGCCACTTTGTAGAAATCCAAAGCAATTCAGAACTTTGGCAATTCGGCATTTTGGCACTTCGGTTCGATTTGGCACTTCAGAACGTCGGAACTTCAGCACTTCAGCATTTCAGACATTTGTAAGCATCTGAATGTCAAAATTGCATGAAATTCGTCCGAATATACATTCGGAACAAAACGAATTGCACATGTCTATATCACATTAATGAAAAGACCCAAAACAGAAACAGAATACATAGTTATGTAATTTTACAGTTATTAAAAGCTTTATGTCAATGTTTATAAATTATAGTTTAACCCCTTCGGACCGGAGGGCGTACTATTACGCCCTATTTTAAGCGGCTCTAAACGCCGCCTGGCGTAATAGTACACCCTCCGGTTTTTGTTTACTCACCCGGTTGCCGGCGATCCCACGAGGGAGCCCCCCCATGGCACATCTTCTCTCCTGTAGCCCCCCAGCTATGTGAGACTGAGGTCCTTGCCAGGACCTCACAATCACATGGCCGGGTTAGCTGGCTGCTGTATTGCCAGCAGGGGGACTGCCTGTAATGACAGGTAGTCCCCCTGCTGGCTGGAAATAAAATAAAATTAAAGTTAAAAAGTGTAAAAAAATAAAATAATATACTAAGCTCATATATATATATATATATATATATATATATATATATATGATCTAAGTATATATATATACACATATACATACACACACACACACACACTGTCTAGGTGTATTTTACTATTAATATATATATAATTATATATATATGTATTAATATCAAATTACACGCAGACTGATACTGATTAAATATATATATAATTATTGTTATATATATATATTTATATATAATATAAAAAAATAAATATGTAACTACGTTAAAAAATTAAATTAAAAAAATAATTAAAAATAAATAATTAAAAATATATAGATGTATGTTATTTCGTTCAACTGTATTGTGATATTAATATATATATATATATATTTATATCAAAATACACGTAGAACAAAATAATATATATATCTATATACATAAATATATACGTATATATACCTATATATAAATAAAAATATTTTTTTTAAATTGTATATATATATTTACACATACGTATATATATATATATATATATATATATATATATATATATATATATATATATATATATATATATATTAATTCTACATGTATATTTATGTAATATTTTTACATAATTAGGTATCTTAATTAATTACAATTAGTGGGACCTGCCTGATAACCCATGCCGAAAGTAAAGGGAATTTAATTTGATAGCACTATATTTATCCCTATTACTTTCCAAGACACCATAAAACCTGTACATGGGGGATACTGTTCTACTCGGGAGACTTCGCTGAACACAAATATTAGTGTTTCAAAACAGTAAAATGTATTACAACAATGATATCACCAGTAAAAGTGCATTTTTCACGCACAAACAGCACTTACACGAACGATATTATTGCTGCGATACTTTTTACTGTTTTGAAACACAAATATTTGTGTTGAGCGAAGTCTCCCAAGTACAACAGTACCCCTCATGTACAGGTTTTATGGTGTTTTCAAAAGTTACAGTGTCCAATATAAGGCTTGGGTTTTTCATTTTTTTCACATTAAAATTCGCCAGATTGGTTAGGTTGCCTTTGAGACCCTATGGTAGCCCAAGAATGAAAATTACCCCTATGACCAAATGGCTACTAAAAAAGACTGGACATACCCCATTTGCAATACCTTGGATTGTCTTCTATTGCAAATGGTATGCCATTAAGGGTGTAAATTTCATTCCTGGACTACTATACAGTCTCAAAGGCAACATAACCTATCTGGCGAATTTCAATTTCAAATTTAACGTGCTATATTTTACATAAAACTTGTACATAGGGGGTACTGTTTTACACGTGAGACTTTGCTGAATACAAATATGAGTATTTTATTGCATTAAAAGCAAACAGTATTATGACATTGACAGTTAAAATGTCATGTAGTTCTAAAAAATAAAAAAAAATCTTATTTTCTCCCATTTTTTTCATATTAAATTATGTTTCACAGCTAAACATTTGATATTAACCCTTTAGGACCAAACTTCTGGAATAAAAGGGAATCATGTTATGTGTCCTTAAGGGGTTAAATGAAAGCCCTGTTTTCCCTGAATATAATAAGGGTGGATGCATTTACTATGAAAGAGGTGAATTACGGTTGGACAGACATGTAGCGCGAATGCCAGGTTTTGTTTACATTTTGTTTTGTTCACAAAAGGGCTCCGTCCTTAAGGGGTTAATCCATAAATTAATATTTGAATTTAAATGTAGTGTGTTTTGCATATGTATTATGTAATATAACTTGTAATGCAGTTTTAATGTTATTTGAGGTCAGTTTAATATTAAATGTTGACTGAAACTTTTACAAACCAATTATAAAATAATTAAATAAATAGTTTCAGAAACCCAAATAATGGGTAATTTAACTCACTACAAGATTTTTATTGCTAGTGACATTTTAAAAAGTTGATACTGCTGCAATAACTACTGATAACCAAGGAAGCCAAAATGTTCTTTCTTATATTTAAAAAAAAAATTGTAATGAAACTTGCATACAGAGCTTTAATATGCTAACAGTTTGAAATCATTACTTCTAAAATGTAATCAAGACTTTATAAGATATATATGTAATGCTTACATGCAAAACAAAAAGAGAAATGGAGTTTAACAAAATATATTGATACATAACAGATGAATAAATCAGCTTTATTTTCCTTCCCGTGCATCAGTTAAAAGCTTCAGTTCTGCATTGAGAAGGGATATCGGCCGGTAGCTCGAGCATTGGGATGCATCCTTCACTTCCTTTGGTTTGACCATGACCACTGCCGCAACAGAGTTGGTGGGGAATCGGTCTCCTTTCAGGAGCTCGTTCAGACCCAGCAGGAGCTTAGGCAGCAGTATGACCTTGAAGGTCTTCAAATAGCTGCATTGAAGGCCATCCGGGGCCGGGGCCCAATGTGTTTTAGTCCTCTTGAGGGCTCCTTCTGCCATCACAGGCATCAGTTTGAGGGTCACATGGGTGAAGAGGAAGTCGGACAATCGGGTTCAGTGTAGTCCGTCTGCATTATTCGGTAACTTGTCTGAAAGGTAGTATAGTTTGGTGTAGTATGCCTGGAAGGCATGTAGAATGTCAGCTGGGCGTTTCTGTTCTTTCTGTTTGTGGTTCTTGATCGTATGAATGTGGTTCATTCTCCATTGTTTCTGCAGCATTCGTGCCAGCAATCTCCGGCATATGTTCGAATGTTCATAGAAGTATTTGTTGATTTCCGTAATCTATGGAGTAGTTTCTGAGAGAGTGGGTCCCGCAGTTGCATCGCTGGAAGTGGGGTCTGCAGTGCTGATGGTGTCGGTTGGAGTGCTTGGAGTCCTCAGCGAGCACTAGGAGCATCGATTGGCGGAGGTACTCAGTCGGAGTGCCAGCGTTCCATCACAGGAGGCTTCTGCGCTTTGTAACCAGCTGCAAGTAGGCCTCATCTGCCTTGGTGTCTTTATGGGTTTGTTCCAATTCGGCAATCTGCCCCACCAGGTCCGTGATCTGTCTGGTCTGCTCCTTCTTGCGTTGTGTGAAAGTGCTAATGTAATGGCCGTGGATGACGCACTTATGAGCCTCCCATACTTTTAACGCCGACATGTCTGGCATCTTGTTGGTTTCAAAGTAATGTGTGAGTATTATCCTCACTCTTCCATATCTTTTAGCAGGTTCTAGTTGAGCTTCCAACTGTTCTTGTGGCTTGAATATGGGAGATTGGATGTCTACCGTTAGCGGGGCAAGGTCGGAGCCACACATTATTCCAATGGTGGCCGAGATCAGGAGGGACAGGAATTCCTGTGCTAGGAAGACATAATCCAGGCGACTATATTGTTTGTTGTCCCTTGAGTAATATGTACAGTCCCTGTCGTCGGGGTGCACCACCCTCCAGCAATCAACCGATGCGAGTCTCCGCAGGGATCCCGCCACTGCTCAGATGGAGCGGGGGTGGATAGTGCTCATACCTTGGGATGTGTCCATCTTTTGGTCCAGGGGACATTAAGATCCCCTCCCTGAATGTTTTGAGAAGAGCTAGTGTCTTAGCTAGGAACCTATGCTGTTTCCTGTTTGGGCTGCGAAGGTGTATTTTTTGTCTGCTATCTTCCCTTTCACAAAAAGATGCCTTGTGAGTCTGTCTTCGTTGTGGTGCATTGGAAAGGTGCATCTTGTGAAAACAGGATTGCGACCCCCGCTCGTTTTGCCTCGGGATGGTTGTGACGAAGTGCCCTTCGCCACTTGGTCCTGGAGAGGCCTGCTTGGCAGCCTCCTCCCCTGTGACTATGACTCTTTCATGTATTTGGCTTTAAAACCCCTAGTCTACCTTCAGACAGACTATTTATGTAGGCTGCTTTATTTATCTTATGTTTTAGTCACCCTGTACCCATTATAGGTGCAGGGTGTGTGTAATGTAATTGTTTATAGTGTGTGTGTGTGTGTGTGTACTGTGAAATGTATTGCCTGCTCTCCTGTACTGCTGAGGTTTGCTATCAACTAGGTGGGTTTGGCTATGGAGCTTGTCTAGTGCCCTCTGTTGGTAGCAACAGCAATATGCACTACCTGAAGTGCAAGACTGGTTCATTTGCATATTCGGGTAGATTTGCATATTGCTAATTCTGCAGGCAGGTGAGATATTTACTGTTAAATATTGTCTCCCCCACCCCTTTAAAAATGTGCCATTGTGTTGTGATAAGTCACTGTGTGTTGCCTGCTATGGTTTGACTGTTTTTGATTTTATTGAGGTTTCACAACAATGTTATTGTGGTGACCCTATGGGCTGGTCCCAAGGGAAATAAAGGTTTAGACAGTTCTTCTTGATCCCTCTAAATGTAGCCTTGTCTCGTTATTGGAGGGAGCTGTTATAATCACACTGGGGATTGCTATGCTCTGCATGCTCCCCTGAGCTTGAATCACTTAGCTCTTTTAAGAGCTTGTTCCTGACACGCTCTCCTTGGAGGAGGGGTCTTCACCACACAGTCCTGGAGGACAGAAGCTGATCCAGGGTGGAAGGAAGACGGCGAGACTCCAGTCAAGATACAGCGGTTGCAGAGTCTGCGGTGGTTGTGGTGTCTGCTGCACTGCTTGGAGTCCTCAGGAAGCGCTAGGAGCATCCGTCAATGGAGGGTACTCAGTCGGAGTACAAGGAGCTCCGTTACAATGGTTAGCAAAGTACCCTACAGGGAATCTATGGTCTCTAAGCACTGGGGCTCTGCCCTCCCTAAGATGCGTCTTCTGGATAAACGGTGTTCTGGGATATTAAGGCCTCTGGCGTTGTTGGTCCAGAGCCGTAGTGGTGTCGGTCGGAAACCTGTGTTCATATCTATGAGGGGGAGGCAAGAGGGGGAAGTTAGGGTGAGGGAGGTAGAGAAAAGAGAAGGAAAGGAGTTGGAGTTGATGTGTACTGTGGTCGTTGCTTATACCCAGGAGTGATGGGAGTGAGCACAGGACTTTTCTTTTTGTATTTGTATTCACATTTTGTATCATACAGCCAGGTCACAATGCTGCCGCCCATCCCATGTGTTCCCTATTAAGGGTTAATAAGTACATAGGGGTGTATATATAAAATACCCCTTTCTGTCTCATTAGAGATATCTTTGCTAGAAGCTCAAGGAAGCAAGGTGAAGGGTCAGAGAAGGACCCGTCTAGGGTGGTCTGCCTTGACATTGGCAGGCGGGCATTCCCTCCAGTGGCCATTGGAGTAACTAAATGACCTCCATTTGTTTAAATATACATAGGGATTAAGGAGAGAGCGCAGGTAACTTTTTTCTTTGGTTTTTGTGTGTCAGTCAGTCCCTGTAGTCTGGGAGCGCCATGGGCTCACACTGTCTTCGTCTTGGTTTGGTGCGTGTGGTCTTATCTACTGGACTTCGCGTGTCGCTTTACCCAATGTGTCACCCCCCAGTAGAGTTGCTACTGTGTGTCATCTTCCTGTGTCACTGCGTCTTCCCTGCGGCAGGGTCAGTTGGTGCTCCTGGTCCCTCGGTCGCCCCGGCTCTTCTATTTCTGTCCCTGCTGGCATCACCCAACCACGGCCCCATCTGCTCCCAGGTCTCTACTGGCCTTTGAGAGCTCCCATCTCCCCCATGTGTACACAAGATTCCCGGGGCCCATCCATCGCAGGCTTCACCTACCTCCTTTACTGAGTGTAATTACCACGTTTATCACTTGTGTGACATACAGCCCCAAAACCCAGTTGTGAACCAGAGGACTGAAGTGCCGGTTGGCCAGAGTCTCATATGCAGAGTCTCATCAGGTAGGGTGGTTGTCCCCTGACACTAGGCCTCCGTGTGGTATCCAATCTGTGCGCGGAGGGGGCCCTGTGTAGCTGAGGCGGGGGGTCAGGGTTCCCATTTGGGCATGGATCTCGGGTTATATCTGGTGCTAACTTGGTGGTGGGTTGAGGTGTCTCTGTCCTTCTTTCAGTCCCATGCCAATCTGAACAAGTCCCTTCCTCTCTCCTCTTTACCACCCAAATCAAGAGCTGGAGCCCGGGGATCCGGTGGCCTACCCTATCTCTATGGGTATTTCCGTGGGAGTTGGGGGACCCACGGGGAGACTGAGGCCCTGTCACTCACCACTGGGTGTCTTTGCTACTTACAGTGGTGGGGTGTCCGGGCGGTGCATCAGCTTACATGGGGTGTAAGCGATGTGGCTCCCCGAGGCCCCAGCAGCCCATCCCTTGTTGTGGTGAGGCCTCCAACCCCTCCATTTGTGTGTTATACCTCTGATCTGTCCTGGCCTCCCCTCCTGAGCAGGGGATTCCCCATGATCTGGTCAGGGCAATTTCCAGTTGGTCCTCTGGGCAGGGCCCATGTGGGTGGCGGGACCTCTAGGATACAGTTAGGGACTGCTACCACTGTCTGTCCAATCATAGACTTCCCAGTATAGCTCTGTAACGGAACTCCCCGTACTCCGACTGAGAACCTTGCGTTGATGGATGCTTCCAAGCCTGCGCCGAGGACCACAAGACTTCTCCTCCAGGAGAGTGTATCAGGAACAAGCTCTTAAAAGAGCTAAGTGATTAAAGCTCAAGGGAGTATGCAGAACACAGCCCCAGTGTGATTATAGCAGTTCCCTCCAATAACAAGACAAGGCTACGTTTTGAAGGGTAAAGAAGAACTGTCTGTACTGGCACATACAGCCTCTTTTATTCATATTCTACAAACATAGTACTGCCCACAGGGTTTTGAAGAACAACCAATCAACGCATTACAACACAGCTATATATATATATATATTGTTAAATAAAGTATGTCCAAAAAGAAATGTCCAAAAAAAATGAAATTGTAAATAAAAAAATAAAAAATAAAAAAATATATTTAAAAAAAAAAATCAGACCTTAAGTATGCTGACACCACCTTTTTGTACATACTTTATTTAACAATGTATTGTTAAATAAAGAATGTACAAAAAGGTGGTGTCAGTATACTTAAGGTCTGATTTTTTTAAAATATATTTTTTATTTTTTATTTTATTATTTACAATTTCATTTTTTTGGACATACTTTATTTAACAATATATATATATATATATATATATATATATATATATATATATATATATATATTGTTAAATAAAGTATGTACAAAAAGGTGGTGTCAGTATACTTAAGGTGTGGATTGAAAAATCAAAAGGCAGTAGAAGGTAAACTGCAGCTAGGGTGCAAAATGATTTTGCTGCAGCTATGTCAATATCATACCGGATTGCCTAGTGTATCACTTGGCTTTACCTTATACTGCATTTGATTTTTTGATCCAGACCTTGATATACTGACACCACTATTTTGTACATACTTTATTTAACATATATTCATATATTTCTCTATATTTTTTTATTATTTAGTTTTAATTTCTTTTTTTTTTTACATTTATGTCTGTTGTATACAACTTGGAAGGGAATCTCTCCCTCCCTGTGATGTAAATACTTTGTTATTATTTTCTATTTGTGTGTTACTTTATCATAAAGATTCATTAAACGTTAAGTCTTCACTTTATTATTGAGCAATTATTTGTCTAGGCATCCAAGTACTTATCATTTATAGATGAATTGAATTATCATGGCTTAAAAATCTCTAAAAAAAATCTTCTCTATGCAATTTTTTGTTTTCAGGTGATGTATTTCCATAATTCAGTAACATTTCACATGGAAATCTTTTTATGTATTGGATTCATCCAGTATTTATATTTTCTTATTTGCTGAAATGATAAAAGGCTAATGTTGGTGAGCCCTCACCTGGTACTCGCTCTCCATTAATGGACAAATAACTAACCAAGCCTATAAGAGCTTGCAGGTGTTGAAAAATATTATGAGCTCCTCTCACCCAAAATGTTCATAATTAAACTTTAAGTATGTCATATTAATATGTATAATATAAAGTCATGCTTTGTAAAACATTTACATTTTAAATGAACAATTAAACAAATTATTTGCAAAAGAATACAATTAAACCAAACAAAAATCATATGGCACTTTTACTGTAAAGTATATTAAGTTGTCAAGTTATTTCATTCATATGCATAATTTAGAATGTATATGGCTTATGTACTTGAACATTTTTATATTATTAAAATGAATACAGCTACTTAATATACTGTGTGAGTCAATAGTAATTTGACTTTACAAAGAGAGTAGTGCCATTTTGTGGCAACATAAATAATTACAGAATAGTTACTCTGATTTTCTAACATTTTAATGCTTTTATTTTTTTTTTTATGATGCATGTTGTAGCTAGCAGGCATTACTAAAGATCACCAAATGTTTCTCTATTTACATTTTATTAAAACTTCATAGAGAAATACTTCATATTCAGAGAATTTTAAATGGCAAAGTAAATCAAACATTACTCATTGTAAACAAAGAAAAAAAGGCCTTGTGCACATTTTGTGATTCTTACTCCTTGTAACACTGGTTGCTATGACATTGCCCTCTACTA